AACAACAAAAACACTACCTTATAACAGGTCTCATTTGTGACTGCTTCCAAAACTGTGCAGATAAGACCCCAAATCATCAAAAGGTTTGATTTATTAAAAAGAAAAAGTCTCTGATGAAATCGCAAGAGTCCCTTCCACCCAAAGCATTTTTTCTTCATTAAACAAGGAGTCAAAAAATCCATTTCAAATTGCAAATTGATCAGCAATGGGGAAAAAAAAGAAATTTTCATTCTTTTCCAATCTTAAATAATTTAACATAAGCTCTAGTTTACTTAGCCCTAATGCAATAACAGCCTTTGTTGTATCCACATTTCAAAACAGAACATTTGCAAGACAAGTAGAACATCGTTCTTTTTCTTTCTCCATCATTGCTATATATTTTGGGGAGTTTTGTTTTGTTTTTTAAAAAAAGATACAAACAATCTTCAAAGTTTACCTTTTTTTTTTTTGGACTTAAGGCATAACATGAAATTGCGCATTATTCTAAAGCTTAATTTTGAAACGAACTAGTTTAGTGCTATCAAACCCTGTTTGCATTACATTATTTAAATTATATACTATTTTATTTCTGTTCTTGCTGTAAATTCTAATGCTGTTCATGGATTGTGCAATTCCTATGCAATCAGTCTTTGCCTGCTGATAGTTATTAACAGTGCAGTGTAGAATCCAGATATTAGGCTTTCAGTTTCTTAGTTTTCCTTTCAGTTCAATGCATGCTGCTTAATTGTGTGGAAGATCCAATCCATTTTTGTTGTCCAGCCACCATGGTGTGCATCATTCATTTGTTTCATGAAATATTCCAAAGCCTCTTGCTCAGTTTTATCTAAGGCTAGGGTCTTTCGAATATATGCAATGTCATCAAAAGACTGTAGTTCTGGCATTCCAGAGCCAAGCATCATTGAGAAAAGATTAATGAAGAGATTGGCATGCTGTCGAATAGCTAGATAAGCCTTGTAACACATCTCCTGAAACCTATAAGCAATAAAAATAGTTCAGTCAGTATGATGCAAATGGTATTAATACTTTCAGATCTCTGCTCGAATTTCACACAGAGAGGCTTACTTGGACAAATAGCTCTCCTCTCCCCACTCCCCTTGCCAGCACTTTTCTATTTCCTTTACCCCACTGGAAAGTAAACTCAATGAGGATAAAAACTTTGTTTATTGTTTTATCACAAACACAAAGACCAATGTCTGGCACATTGGGAGCTTAATAAATATTTATTAATATGTAAGAATTGGTTCATACTAAAGCTTTTAGGATTTCAGCTAGGGTCAGGAGACAGAGTTGTAAATAAAGCACAATTTTAAAAAAGTAATTTAAGGTCTAAGATAGACAAATGATGTATCATAGGTGGTAAAAAAAATAATGAATATGCATGGTAGTTATAGTTAATTTGACTTTTCAACTTATATGACTAAAAATGTTTTAAGCACTATTTATTATTTGCCAATACAGAGAAGATGGAGTCCAATTATTTAAAGAGCAGTAAGTAAAAACTTTGAATGTGTTATGAAGTTTAGAAATTATTTTCCTTTTAGGCCTTAATTAGCTCAATAAATTAAATTGCCTTTCATTTTCATTCTTCACAGCATCATTCAATTTTTGCTAAATAACATTTGTTACTTAAATTACCTGAACAATATCAATTATTTCTGATAGAGCAACAAAAACTCTTTATCTTGAGCTTTTAATTTCTTGAGCTTACCTCTCAAATTCTCTGGTCTTTGTACATTCTTGAGCTCCTTTACTAATCACAATTAAGAAATCTTGTGTCAAAACGAAGGGTACACGTTCTCGTTTATAACCAAATTTTTTCTTCTTGTGATCCAAAAAGTGTCCAAAATCTATATGAAACAGCTTTCAAAAATAAGAAATTATGTTATAGGTCAACACATGCAGAAATACAATATCTTGAATTAATAAATTTAGCTTAAGAACATCAAAATATTTTAAAAAGAAAAAGTCATTACTTGTCCATCATCTTTCACCATGATGTTACTATTGTGCCGATCTCCAATTCCCAAAATGAAGGTAGCCACACAATATCCAGCACATGAACGTGTAAACAGGTCTATGGCTGCATCATATCTATATAGAAGAGATAAACACCTCAGGAGTGGTGTGGAAAACAAAGTGATCAAGGCCAAACGGAAAATATGAAATTTTTATCTAAACAACGAAACAATCACTGACATTAAGGAAGAAATACTAAGAAATTTTGAAAATGTGAAGTTTTCAAGAGTTTCTACGGAAATTTCTAGATGTTGCTTATCAAAGCATAATTCCTACCATAGTGAAAAAAATACTTATGTCATTAAACTTATTTACTTAGTTGAATGTACATAATTTTATCAAATTATAAGCAGTCTGATCATTTAAGCCCCAAAAACCCACAAATATTTCAAAAGTTGAGCATATTTTTACCTGAAATAAGTATAATTGTTTCTTCTGGTTTAACTCAGAGGAATATATTCAATCATTAAGAGACTCATCTAACAAAAATTTACTTAACACAGTAAAAAGGAATAAAAACACTCACATTTCTCCTTTGTTCTTATCTTTGAGCCACTGATGTAGTGTGTGGCTGTTGAACTGCAGTGCGCCTTTCAGGCCACCTTTGCATTGAATTTGCATGATAGTGTGAGAATTTCTTACCACCTCAATAAGTCCTACACAGTCACCAATTGACAGACAACCATAAGGTAACATTCTGAAAAAAGAGAAACACATTTACAATTAAATAATGGAAATTTAGTATAGCAAATATTTTAATATGACAAATCATGAATATTCCATTTGTAAATTTGAATTATACTGTCAAAGGTTTTTTTTTTAAAAAAACATATTTCTAGAAAATCCACAAAATTATATAATTATTTACTACAGACTTCAATTGAGAAAGCACTTACTTGTAGTATCAGAAAAACATTACTCAGAAATTATAGCAATAAAATATAAACATTTATGACTTTAAAATATGGATAAACTTAATGATGTTTAATTTCCATTTAAGTAAAGCTTTAGGGCAGCAGTTCCCATGTTTTTGTCTCAGGACTCCATTATACTTGTAAAAATTACTGGGGACCCCAAGGAACTTTTATTTATGAGGTTTACGTCTTTGATATTAGAAATTAAAACAAAATAAAAATAAAAGCATTTATTAATTTCATTTAAAATCAAACCATTAGGATTCTTTAAACTACAAGCATGCTCAACAGTGATAAAAAAAAACATAAAATAAGAGAATAATTGGAGTAAAATCTTAAGAATGTATTTATCGGGGCAGGAGAGAAAATATTCCATATGAGAAATGATCAAAAAAACTGACCACATTTTATTAATTAATCTAAAAACAAACCATCATGTGTCAATATAAATAATATCTTTTATGAAACAAAAAACCCTGTATTGCCAGGTACAGTGTTGCAATCCCATGGGCTGGGAAGGCTGAGGTATGAGGATGGCAATTCAAAGCCAGCCTCAGCAACTTAGTGAGGCCCTCAGCAACTTAGTGACACCAGTCTCAAAAAATACATACATACATACATTAAGAAAAAAAAGTGGGGGGGTGTAGGGAGCTGGGGATATGGGTCAGTGATTAAGTACCCCTACATTCAATCCTAGTAGCAAAAAAACAAATCGGAAACTAAAATCCCACAAACCCAAACATCTCCCTCCATATTAAAAAAAAAAAAAATAGTGAAAAGAGCAATATATGTCTTCAAAAATTTTTAATGTCTGGTTTTATAGACAGCCAGATTTTCACACATGCTTCCGTAACCAACCTAGGTAAGGTATTTTAATTGAGGTACGTAAAGAAAATCCGGCATCATACAAATAGGTAGTTGAAAAAAGGAGATTGTCATAGTCTTCTCAGATAATAGCAGATATTTTTCTTAGAGACTATTCTAAAACTGGGCACAAGATAGTGTCTCAAGTTGCAATACGGAATCTGAGACAGATCAACAAACTTTTCATACTGCTTCATTGAAACTGATTTGTTTATCTTGCTTTTAATGGGTATCCTGCAATGGTCATTTGGAAGATATTAATTTAATGAGTTATGTACATCTTCTAAATGTTGGTATTTTTCATTATACCATACTAAAAACTCATAATTGTTAATATTATCACAGACTTTCAATTAAAAGTTTTTAAATTTGAGGACAAATTAAGTTCAGTGGTGAATATTGAGTTTTCCAAAATTCTAATTGGTGACTGAAAGCTCAAATTTTATCCTTGGCAATAAATATTGTCATAGTTGGTTTATTTGAAGAGATAGCCACATATTGTTCATTTTCAAGAAAATGTTTGCCAAATACTCATGTCTGAATAACCAGTTTTTTTTTATCATTATTTCTTTTAATTAAAATAGTATTCCAAGAAAAAGGAGCTAGTAGTTTAGTTTAGTTCACAGCTCAATCCCACAAATGTGTTTCCTTGATATAACTATCATTTTGCCATGTTGCAGTGGTGCTTTTTGGGTACTTCCTGTTTTATTATAGCAAATATTAAGCAGAGAAAAAGAATATCAAATAATAAATACATGTAGTCAAGGGTAAAGACATGAAGGCTTAAAAACAATAATGAAAAAAGCATACAAATTGTTACATAAAGTATCAAAGTATGGTTTTCTTTGCTTTGCTGGTCTCATAAAGCTATTGTCTCTTCCTCCTTTTTCTTTTTTTAACTTCCTAAAATAGTCTACACTTATTTTCATTTTCTCACTTTAATTCCTGTCACCTAGCTTCTAGGTCTACCGTTCTACTGTAAACTCTTCTTAAAGCTAACCATAAGTCATCAAATCCAGTTTTTTTTTTTTCCTTAGTCCTTGTTTTCTAAATCCTTGGAGTACATGGCACTGCAAATGGTTTGTCAATCTCTTCCTTCTTTTGGGAACTATGAATCATTTATTCTGGTACCCTTTGACCACTTCTCTATGGAATCTTTTTTTCTACCTGCCCTGGTAAATACAGACTTTTTTTCAAGGTTGTACTCCAGCACATTTTATCTTATTTCATGTTTTTATTTTATTACCGTTGAACATGCTCATAGTTTAAATGAGACAAATTATCCTATAAGTGGGCATTATGTAAATTGTGGATGTGTAACCGACGTGATTCTGCAATCTGCATTTGGGGTAAAATTGGGAGTTCATAACCCACTTCAATCTAATGTATGAAATATGATATGTCAAGAGCTTTGTAATGTTGTGAACAACCAATAAAAAAATAAAAAATTAAAAAAAAAGAGACACACTAAGATGTAAGGAAACAAAAAAAAAATTATCCTATAATTCTTGCTATATGAAAAACAGAGTGATAAGAAACCTAAATCTGAATTATACTGCCAAGTAAAAATGCTATTTTACTTAAATTAAGTAAATTTTAACTAAAATTAAACTTCAAATAAAAATTTAATTTAAGTATTCAGAAAATATTATAAATGAAAACTCCTTCATATTTTAAATAACTATAATTTCTTTTCTTGCAACTACTAATTTACAATTAAGTGTGATAATTACCAGGTATATTTACTTAGATCCTTTACTCTTTGAAGTTCTGCATTCTTTTTATACTCTTTGTTACTGAGAGCTGTGGTACTGGTGGCATCTTTCATGACACAGGAAATTATTATCAAAAAGGAAATGTGATTCATATAACATTAATTATCTTTGGAAAGGAAAGCAATGAATCAGTAAATCCCACCAGCACATACATCCATAAGAATGGAACTCTAAATAGAATAAAATATATTCCCTGCTTGTATAATTGTATCAAAATGGATTATATTGTCACTTATAACTAAAAAGAACTAGAAAGTTAAAAAAAAAAAAGAGTTAAGAGTCAAAATTGATGATTTAATTTTGTGCCTCAGCAGGTTACTTGAAATGTCCACTTTCTTTTTTGCAAATAAAAGGGTATTACTATTATTTGTTACTTATACTCTTTTATTTACTAGCTACTCTTATCTATTAGAGATATACAAGCCCTCATTTGGAATTACTGGCTATTTCTATCTCATCTATCATGTTGCTATAGCTAGACTTGGTTCATGCCCACTTTATGAAGCATGACAAAATTTGGAGATAATCTGATAATTGTGGAAAGTTGGACAGAAACCAATAAACTGGTAAAAACTTTAGTCGGTTTCAAAAACTTTGTTGAAAAACTGATTCAAGATTAGAAAATTTAAACTCAACTTCTGAATAAAAACAGGGGGCTTTTGTGTCACCTATTTCCTTTTCATAATTATGACCTTCCAGGGACAACTGCAGAGTCTTTACTAGCTTTATTAGAAATGGTTCTTACTTTGCTGAAATATCATCAGTTTGTCTAAGTCATGTAAGAGGACAAACAAAAGTACCAAAGCATAATCAACCCATTAATTACTACTACATATGTATGTGTATACATAGTTCTATTATTAATATTTATTAGTATTTTCCCCAAGTTAACATACAGGTTATCTTACTGATTACTTACCGAAGATCAAGACCTTGATTTTGCCAGATGTTTTCCATAATGCGAATAATTTGAAGTGTTAGCATATCTTGCCGTAAATCTGAAATTCAAATTATATGTTTCACCACTTAAAACTATCAGTAGAAATGAGGGTATTACATTGTTTTCACATGGAAAACAAAGAGCTACATTTACTTTTCAAAATAATTTATAAGACAGCAATATTTTGATTCTTTAACCCACTTCCAAAGTACCTGCATTATCATATCTGTATAACAGAATAAGTGAGCACATATTTCACAAAAATCTTAAACATATTTAAAATATTTTTGCAAATCCTTAAACATGAACATGTTTACATTAAAGTACTGAGATAACAGAATTCACCACTGAATTGTATTTCACAATGCAAAGCCCTTTATAATCTTTCCATTTCCCCCTACAGCCTATTTTCTACATAATTAGGGACATTCTTTATATTCTTAGCAGACTACATTTTTTCTTTGTACCATGGTTGCTATTTTATTTTTGTAATTATTTATTATCAATGTCCCTTTTTTCTGTTAAGACTGTAAACTCTAAAAGGGCAGGGACTCTGTTTTGCTTACTGCTATAATCCCTGGGACTGCCACATAGAATTGTCATTTAATAAATGGACGCTCACACCATTCATTCAAATGATGGTTCAGCAAATGCCAAAATGATTTCAGGACTTTTGATTCTAAAGGGGTTCAAAAAATGCCACCTCAACCAGGGAAACAACTAGAGGTTGACAACAAGCCTGGATAGACTACCACCTGTTCTTCTGAGGGTTATTCTGAAATTACTTTTTTTTTTTTTAACAGAGATATTTTTTTATCAGCCTATCAAGACAACCTTTATTCATAATACCTTTGCTTTCCTACCCTCCCATAACTGTGTGGACACCCCAACCTCCTATTCCTTTTTGTTGCTCAGGATGCTCATAAGTTTCATCCATCCGATTCCTTTTCAAGTTCATATTTTGTGTAATGGTATACATAACTAAATATTTTTTCTTGTTAATCTGTTTTATGTTGATTTAATTTGAAGCCTAGTGCAGGAATGTAGAAAGGTTAGGCAAGCCATTTTTAGCTCCTCTAGACATATATAATCATTAACAAGAAAACCTATCTAGTGGAGCAAAACTACTACTTCTTTTTTAATGTTTACACATACTTAGTAGGGATCAACCTCCAGATGATCTTCATTGGTTGATAAGATTCATGACCAATGAGTTCCTTTTGAAGGATCCACCTTTAGGCAGAAAAAGGGAGCTGAGAAAAAGCATCTGCCTGCATCTGTTTCCCTATGTTCTAAGTCATCTGCACATCAAATTATCATACTTGAGGTCACGTTTCCTGAACTTCTTTATATATATTATGAAAGTTAGAAGATCTGCTCAATATTCTATATTTTATCACATGTGTATCTGAAAAATAGTTTTCATGGTTCATAAATACTTTGCATAAAAAGATACCTAAATTCATATATCATAAACTCATTAATACTTTTCCTTACCATCTCCATTTTTAAAGATGATCTCATTGTTCTGAAACAGTAACTCCGACATGATGTCTGGGTTCTCCCAATTCAACCACAGTGGCCTTTTTGCAGAGGACATAATTCGACACTCCTCAAGCCTTTGAAATCATTAAAACACTTTACTAGTACACCTTAGCTTCATTATTCTTTTTTCTCTCAAATTTACTTTAAAAGATGTATCTAGTATAACTTTTTGAAATATAAAAAATTTAAAATTTCTTAAGTTTTAATTATGAAGTAATTCCTAAGACATACAAAGAAAAATACTTTTAAATGTTTATGTAATTATGAATTTTCAACCAATACAGGGAGACATTTATTTTACAGATATTACATTCAATTTCTTAACTATGATACCAGAAATTCTAACCATAGAAGGTGGTCTTGAACTTTATTATTAAAGTAGTAAAAGTTTATTCTAAAAAAATGCAGTTCTAATTTAAGATAATTTTACTATTTCTATTTTTCAGGGTAGGAAATGGGAAAGGAAGAGTATATAATTGGACATTCTTATTTTATGGGACATTTTGACTTTTCTCAAAATTTTATCCAGAAAGTACTTATTCAAATATATCAATAAAACTTCCAACAAAGTATCTTACCGGAGATTTCCTAGTTGATGAGCAGGGTTTAAAGGAGACAGAAAGCCTTGTAGAGCATCCATGAAATCTGGTTGCCTCATTTGCTCAACTAAAAACTTCATCTGTACCTGACCAAAAAAAAAAAAAAAAAAAAGCATAATCAAATTTAGAAACTAAGTTGTAAAGGTGAAACTAACTTCTAATCTCTTCTATACACTGAAAATTCGGTATTGTATAGTCTTTGAATCCATGCTCTGGACTGGCTTCATTATAATGAAAAGGATTTCTATGACACAGAGTAGTGTAACTCAGGGAGAGAGAAAAGAGTGGCAGCACTTGCACCCTTCCCTTGAGAGGATGAACTCTGTATGTGACAGTGGCGATGCTTTGGCTCCAGAGCATAGTCAACCACTGCCTACAGATCAGCTGCCACATTTTGTAAATCAAATTGCATTAGAATATAGCCATGCCCATTCATCACACATCAGCTGCCCTCACACTGGAATAGCAGAGTTGAATAGTTAAGACCAGACCACGTGGCTTGCAAAATCTAAAATACTTATTATCTGGCCCTTTAAGAAAAAAAAAAAATCTGCTGCCCTTTCTTCTAGAGGAGGAGACCATGCTACCTTAGCTTAATATTCTTTCTTTTAGGCTTTTCAGAAAACATTACATTCATGCTCTCTGTTGGGTGAAAAAAGGTCTAGTGATGCTAAAACAAACTTGAAGTTGTAAAAACTTTTGCTACGTGGAGTCTCACACTATACTCAGGTTCTAGTATGTAACTAGAAAGAAATATCATTTCTTAATCCTTTCAACCCAGAGTACAAACTGCTCAGTTATTATGTAATACATGGCATTTTATTTCAGGAAGCCTTCATCTAACAGATTAATCAGCAACTTTGTTTTATTTATTTATTTATTTTTTAAAGAGAGAGTGAGAGAGAGAGAGAGGGGGGGGGGAGAGAGAGAGAGAGAATTTTTAAATATTTACTTATTTATTTATTTTAGTTTTTGGCGGACACAACATCGTAGTTTGTATGTGGTGCTGAGGATCGAACCCGGGCCGCACGCATGCCAGGCGAGCGCGCTATTGCTTGAGCCACATCCCCAGCCCAGCAGCAACTTTGTTTTAATTCCAATAATTTTACATTTAAATATATTTTATATAAAAAACATTAAGTGTGTGCTAGAAAAAAGATGTTAGGAGCTAGGAATTCATAATAAATTAATTTTCATGCTGCAATTTTAAAGTTTTTTCCTTCTTACTATGTATACGTAAATAGCTGGAAAATCTATTCAACACAAAATAGACAGCTACTGCTGATGTAAAGATATTTCTTTTTCCATCACTGCCAACTCTATTGCTAGCACTGTGTTTCCCACACCTTATCACTCATTGCTATTTTGAAACTATTTTATTTCTGGAACTGCAATTTTAGTTACTTATTACAAACTCATTTAAGGCAATAATGATATAAGGTAATGAATTTCTTGTTTCTAAGCTATTGTATCATTACCAATTTTTGATAAGAAAACTCTAGTACAAAATAAATGCCTGTATTTATAAATATATCTAAAACCTATTTTCTTTCCTCTTAGCTCAGTTACAATGTATAAATATATTTTGTACTTACAAATCAGTCCAGTCCCTCATCTATAAATTGCAGCATCAGAAATAGTACAATTATTTTCTAATATACTAATATTTGAACTTATATACCAGAACTTCAACAAAACCAATTAAGTTATATGCTACATGATATTTAGATTAATATAGTAACTTTTAATACAGCAACTTTCTTTTAAAATTGTTTTCTCCTTCCAGTAATACTGATGAAGATATTGGAAAAACCCATTCATTTACGTTCTCTGCCCTTTGGGGACTTGCTAATAAAGGGGATTAACCCAACTCCAACCCCAACTTCGCTAGAGGTGAAGAATGATTTCACTTTTCACTGCAGGATGTGATAGATTAGATTGAACAAAGAATAGAGAATAGGAAAAGGTCATGAAAAACCTTTTCATTTCATATTCCTTAGCTACACTAAGCCAGGGTGCAGATGATTAGTGTATGTGACATATTTGCTGAGCAGCTTTGAGTCCATTTAAAACTTAAAAATGCCAAAACTCACTTCTTTCCACTCATTTTCAGAGTCATTTTTAAGATAGTAAATGGAAGAATAAGGAAAGAATAATTTTAAATACGTAGGAATATATAAAAAGAAAAGAAGGAAAAAAGAGGGACTTACATTTATTGGGCACCTCAGGTTCTAGGAACTATAATGGGTACTCTGCATAGAGCATATAGTTTAGTTCTCACAATAACCTTATGATTCAAAAGTAATACTCCCATTTTACAGATGAGCAAAATGAAATCTTAGGAGCCTAAATAATGTATGTAAAATTATTTAACATTACATAGCAGAGAGAGAGTGGAATCTGGATTTAAATCCTAGTTGGATTGATGCCAAGAACCATAATCTACAGATGCACTAAGTTTCTGAACCACCCTAACACATTGCAATGAAAATTTCAGTTTCAAAAACAAATTAAAATCACACACCTTTTGTGTTTCATCCTTTTTTTCTTGTTTGAGAATGTCAGTTAAGTTAATGAGCTTTTCCATAGCCTCAACTTGCCTATTCAGGTGCTTCAAATACATCCCACAGGCACGACAGTAGGACTCTAAAAGCAGGCCAAACCTCTGACTAACTGTTTTATTGTGCATCTCAGATCTAAAAGAAGAATGAAAAAAAATTATATGTACATATATATAATGTATATATGTACATATATGTGTGTGCATTAAATTAGTATATATAAACTTCAAAAATAAGGAAACCCATTTTGTAAGTCCAATAAATGTTACAATCCTACTCATAATAAAATGATTTAAAATCTTATCATTTAAAAATATAATCAAGTTTCAGGTAGTTCCTGAACATGTCATTTAATAAACAACCATTTTTTAGGTTTATTTTAAACTACTTTTCATTCACCAATCTCAGCAAAAGACACAAAAACACAAAAAAGAAATTGAACAAAAAAAAATAATAAAATGATCAGAAATAACAAAATACAAGAGTTCAGTGAGTACTTTGACTTTTCTGGCACATAATTCACACTTTTCTACACTGTCTCAAAATTTAAGTTATTTCTAACCTAGTGTCTTGGTCCCATTTTTTTATTCGAACATTTAAAAAAATCACATTAGACATAGATTTAAGTTTATTTAAAAGAATATGGCTCATGACCTCTAACTTTGAATACAAAATACACTGCCTTTTACAAAAATATTTTTAAATTTTTAACAATTTTTTAGTTGTAGTTGGACAAAGTAACTTTTATTTTATTTACTTATTTTTATGTGGTGCTGAGGATTGAACCCAGGTCCTTGCATGTGCTAGGCGAGCACTCTACCACTGAGCCGCAAACCCAGCCCTGTTATTCTTAATTAACCTTATATTCTAGTAAGAAACATGGGATTCTGACATTATTGTTCTGAATTCCAAGTTAAGATTTTTATTTATTTTGGAATATTTTAATCTATAATAGAGCGAAACCTATAGAAACAATAATATGCATCTAGCAAATTTTACTTAAAGTAGAATCAAAACCTTATAAAATATTTTAGCTTTCATTCATGTAAAAAATTCAGTTTTGACTTTTACTGTTTAATTACAAAGAGAAAAGGTTGAGGAGTTCATTACTGCTGTAATACATTTTCAGTATAGAAAATGATTCTACCCAAAACTAAAAGTGCATTAGTAATACATATTTATATATCTATTAGATATATAATATATAAATATATAGAAAACAAGTAACAAACAGTGAAAGAATTCAGTGGAGAAATAATCTGACTTACTTTAAGTGCCAAAAGAAAAAGTGCCCAATCCTTTGATTTGTCAATGCTTTCTTGAGTAAAAATCTCACAAGCAGGTTATCCAAATATTGCTCATATTTCAGGACCTAGTTAATTAAAAGAACAAACAAAAACTCAAATGAATCAGGGTCTGTTTCTGCATAGCTGGATTTAAAGAAAAAATTTTAGAAACAAAGTACATACTATTGGTAATAAAATGAATTTGTTTTAAAAGCATAAAACTAGTTGATACAGTAATTTTGGAAATTGCATAGTTTTAGAATAAAACATTATTTTCTATTTTACATTATTTTACCTGTACTAGCTGAATCAGGTACTGAGAAAGTTTGTCGTCTGTTAAATATTTTTCTAAGCATCGAACAGCAAAACCTCGAACCATAGGATCTGGGTAATTACAATCCAGAAGCTCCATTGCCTGTTCAGGCTTGATTGGAGGCCAATCTTTTACTAAGCAGTACATCTGTGTATGAGAAAGACAATATATCATAATTTAAAAGTAAGGATAATTGTGAATAAACTTTCTTCAACACTATCTAGTCGTTGATTTTAGGGTTCATTTAGATAAAAAACCTTAAAACTTGCTTAAAATTTTCAGTTCTAACAAGTTTTATTTGTGAAAATAATGTGAATAGTGTTTTTTTCTCCACTATATACCATAATTAACCAATTGTCCATTTCATCTCTTAAATTTATGTAGTTTTTTTGAAAGAAAACAATTTGAGTAATGTACCAATTTTGTGCAACATTTATTTAATAACCTCAAATATGCATTTACCTGGGCTACTTCATCTCTGGAATTCCATTTAACAGACAGAAGCAATTTGGGTAGAATTTCAGGTATAGTTACGCAATAGTGTCTGTTGGGAAAAACAAAACAAAATAAAAAAAAGTTCTTCCATGTTATTCAAAAGGCCTAGGTGTCTAATTCTTCAATCTTTAAGTTCCAAACTTATTATTACTACTATACCTTTTTAAAATCAAAAGAAACTAGTGTTTAACATGATAATTGTATACATATTTACTTACATACTTAGACATGATAAAAATGGCAAAGACAAAAGGAAATCCAAATGAGATAGTACTTACATTTAGCTGACATTTAAGAAAAATTAAGTATATGTGTTATCACTCTTTAGATCACTCATATTCACCTACTTATACAACTTGAATCACAGAGTTACCACTCCTGTTGAGGTTACTAGAAAAAATATGTTTTAATGTAGTTTCTGCAGAAATTCACTGCAACTGCTTCAGTTAAATAAACCAACGTCACTTACATGTAGCAAGGTAATTTCTGCCTACATGAAAATAAGGTATTACACTATTACTTTGAGGACTTCAAGAAAAAAAATAATGAAAAGTAAATTCCTGAAAATCATAATATCTACACCAACTAAATCACAACTATTTTCTTTCTTGAATTTTAAAAACCCCTAGGAAAGTCAGTTAAAAGTTTAAAAAATGCCCTGAGGAGTTAGTTGAGTAGTAGAATACATGCTTAGCATATATAGGGCCTTGTTCAATTTCCAGAGCCAATAAAGAATTTTTTAAGTTTTAAAAGCCTTCAAAGTCCACAATAAGTATTAACATAGCATGTTTTTCTGTAAGTACAATATGTTTACCCATAAGTTTAAAAAAATTCAAAATCATAAAAAAATTATGTATGCTTTATTTTGTACTAAGTATGATAAAAATATAGCAAGATCAACCAAAGTCAGTCCTGTCTTCTGTAATAAAAGAAAAAAAAAAAAAAACCAGAGAAACTCCATCTTAATGTTTACCTGTGGCTCCATAGAAAATCTTTCTCTTGTTCAGTGATTTCAGATAGAGGATCTCGTGTACAAATTGCTCGGAGTTGTTCTTTGTCATTTTCTCTTAATTCATTGTCTCTAGCTAGTCTGTTACTCTGTAAAATAAAGCAATATCTTAGATGATTTTCTTTGCTTTATTCATTAATGATCCCCCCCAAAAGCAAATTAATTTTCAATAAACTTTCCACTGCTTATTAACTGCTAAAAATTTCTTCTCCCCAAACACGGCATTTTCAGCAACAGGGAAGAACCAATCTAAGACAGTATTTGTGGAACAAATGCAGTCACTTAACATGGTTAAAATTACCACCAATCACAGAACAATAACTGCCAAAGTTAGTAATGAAGACCAAAATGGAATACTAGGGTATAGTAGTGAACCATTCAGCCTTTTTCCTGATGAGGTCTCTTAGTAGCATTTGATGAACTAATCTAATATTTCTGGTAAAAAAGAATAAGAAACCGTATAATAATAAAATAAAAATGTAAACTTTTTTTTTATGTTTCTTGCCTGAGCATACCCTTAATTGCTGCAAAGCTTTCAAATATAAAAAGTAAAAATAAGTAAGAGAAAAAGGGAGATGAAATACCCCCTTAAAATACTGGACAATGAATGTCAGGAAAGAAAATAATGTAACTTTTTGTATAATTCCAAGTAACGTATTTGTTTCCTTTACATAAAAATATATTAACTGGATAATTAATAATTATGAATACATATCATTAGTATATTGCTCAAAACAAATATACACTCCACAGTAAATTCCAAAGCTACAAATGAAAGCAGAAATTCATGATACATGGCTTTTTATGTATTTACCTTGTTGGTTTATTCAACAGTGTGAAAAAATGCTATTTGCACATATTTATTCAACAAGCATTTACTAAATATGTACTATGTGATTTGTCCTGTTCTTGCTGCTGGAGTTACAAAACAGTAAAAGACCCTGCACTAACAGAGCTTCCATTCAAGTGGGAAATCAAATAAATAGAAAAGAAAAAATACTGTATACTTGATGTAAGTATGCCGAGTTATATAACAGAATTACAGAGTAGCTACTGTTGACTGTGTATTTCAAATAGAACATAATATTTGATATGTGATTCAAATGACAAAAAGAAACTGTCCACTTTTGATCAGGAAGACAATTGCAGATGGAGGAAACAGTGCAAAGGCCCCAAGGAGGGAAAGAGGAATGGTTTGACAGAAGAACTAGGAGAAAGCCAGTAAGCTTAGTGTCTAATAAATGAGGGAGACTCAGACAGATAGAAGGTGGAGTTCACAGCATGTAAAATATATGGTTCTGGCTAAACAGTTTGGATTTTATTTTTAGTGACAGCTATTTAAGTTATAAAAGCTATAATTTAATTTATGTTTCATAAAGATTATTTTGACCACTGTGTGGAAGTTAGGAGACTATTTACAATAATTCAGGCAAGTGACACTATTTAACCCTCAACTTACTAGGAAAAGTCATCATTTCCACTTAATATCTGCATCCAAGGGATTATTTTATTTACTTATTTTTGTTTATATTTTTAATACAAAATAATTTGTAGTGATGATAAAAACAATTTAATATTTTATCCACATTTTCCTTGCTTTGAAATACAACTTTGTCAAATTATAAACAACACTGTCAAAATGAAAATCACTGAAAATTGATGGCTTGTAATTTTGTTGAATAAGTTGGTCATCTTTGCTCAATAATTGCAAAATAATTACTTATAAATACCATCAGAATGATCAATTCAAGGAACTTTTAAAATTTTTACATTACTCTTTTCCTTCTAGTCACCTGCCTTCTGCATTTGTCCAATTAGAAAGCGTTTCAAGTAAATTTTGGTATTCAACATCATAAAAGATAAAAATAATAATGCAAAATATAAGGCTGTTTAGATTCTTGTCACAGAATATTGAGATTAAATCATTACCAGTGAATAATAACGGAATGTGAATATCAAACTTCCTTTTTGTGCTTAAAAATACATTGTTTATTCATTGTTGCCTTGAGTTTGAGAAAATTCACATAGGATACTGTCATCTGACATTTCATTTGTATGATAAACTTAGCCATTATAATTAGAATCTAGAGAAGTAGTTTTCGATTGGGGTGATTTTGAACTCCCTACCTCCCAGGGACCTTTAGTAAGGTCTGGAGACATGTTTGATTGCCACAACTAGGTGGGGTGATGCTGCTGGTGTCTAGTAGGGCAGAGGCCAGTGACACTGCTGTCCATACTATAATACACAGAATAGCTCCCACAACAAAGAATTATTTGGTCTAAAATATACGACTGAGGTTAAAAAATAGTACTATAGAGTCCTACTGTCTGTCTCTACATTCCTATTATGATTTATCTAGTAATCGTGAATATTTTTCTCTTTAATTTTGTCATTGTGGGTGGAAAGTGAAAATTTATGTGTAATGAAAGCATAAAAAACCACAAATGAACAAAAATCCTGCAATGACAATGTCTATAGATTTATACCTATGAAAAAGATGCTGCAAGACATTGGGCAAAGCCATAAGAAAACAGAAGGGTCTATTTTATATAATAGTTAAAATTTATATCACTACTGTATTATCTTTCTATGCTATTATATCCTTCTGTATTTTCATACCTTTTAGTCTTTTTTAGCATAAATGAAAATAATGAATAAGGATGAAGTAATTCCTAGGACAATGAAATAGTAAAACATTTTCTGAAACATAATTAAAAAAAAAGTTTCCAACAGATCCAAATGGTAAATGAAAAGAGTAGGTTTAATTCTATTATAAAAATAAGCACATTTAAAAAAAAATTCTAGTAAGAAAGAATACAAGACACAAAATATCAATCCTTATAAATAGTTATAACTTCTAAAAAAAGAAACTCATATCTTTTAAATCATGTATGTAGGAAAGATATAATACTTAGTTTACAAAAGCAATTAATCAACTCCTTACTAGGACCAGAGATATAAACTGATAAAGTGTGCATCTTTGTGCTGCTGTTACTGTCCAGGATGGGCATATTTCAGGACCTCTTGGCCCATTATTCATTGGCTGGTCTATCTATAACCTACAACAAAGCTTAAAAAAAAAAAGTGATAAATTTGGAAAATGGGAGAAAGAGACACCAACGAACAAAAATATCTCCTCTCACCCTAACACCTTTGCCCTTGAGAAATAAGGGACAGTTAATGGTCCTTGAATGCAGTTATCTTGTGGTTTCAAAGTTATGGCCAAGATTAAACAACTGGGTCAATATTTAGGTTCCACTTACTTTATAAAATTCATTATTTTCTGGAGAACCAGGACTAATGTGATGAAGATTTGCTATTTCCTGTGCTTCCAAGCTCAACTAACAAAGTATTTAAATCTTAGTCTCAACTTCAAGGCTACTATCTCAGGGATCTTTTTTGAACCCAATAAACATAAGCCTTCCCCTTGTTCAATCCTTGGTTTTTGTTATCATACTACTGTTTTATTCCTTCATGCTGCTTACCATAAATTTTAATCTTATATTTCTACTTATGTCTGTTTAATGCCTGTTATTAACATTAGACTAAATACTTAATGGGGTCTGTTTAGTTTACACCTTTACCTCTGCCTATTCCAGTGCTTTACACAGAGTTGGCATTCAATAATATTTATTAAACAAATGAAGGAGGGCTAGGGCTCTGAATAGAGGAAACAGAGCTGCAGGAAAAATATCAACATGAAGAAAATTTTACTCTATTGTAATATTGTTCTAGAGCACAATAGTATTTGTTAGTATAACTAAAATTTATAAAACCTTGTCCACACAAAGAATATGTACACATATTTGCAGAAAATGATCTAAGTATACTAAGTTATATTAACAAGGAATTACTTAAGAAACTCAATTATTTCCCTTACCAGTCCTGCATGGGAATAACTAAATCCTGCTTCTCGGGATACAGACCAATTGGCATGTTCTTCAATCACTGACATATCTGGAAACTTTACCACACTGCTGAACCAATCAAACTCCAACTCTAAGCATGGAGTTTCCTAAGAGATGGAATAAAAATTAGTATGTATATGTGTGAGAATATATGTATCTATACATGCACATAAATATTGTGTTTTGCTGCATTAAAAAAAAGAAAACCATCTAATTTATAACAAAACCTTACTTTATTTGGATTTGACCCAGTAACACCAATAGGGTTTAGCAGATCCTCTAATCCATGAGGTACTGGCCAAAGATTCAAAGCCATTTTTCCTGATACTAGGGTGTCAGTATAATCAAACAAGTTTATATTTCCCCAGGCCAATGGACAGTGTTCCTAAAAAAGAAAAAAAAATATTCACTATTCTACAGATTAAATTATAAAGTGAATCTCAAAACATTTTTTTCCCCTGGAAAAGAGATCTTAACGGCTGTCTCTATAACAGAAATATGAAAATCATATTGGTTTTTCAAAATTTAGCAGTTTCTTTCCTTTTTCCCATTTGTGTTTATTTCCTCCTTTCCCATTGAATTTATGTTTTTAAAAATTATAAATAGAAAATATGATCCAGGAGGCATGATACAATTATTTGGATTCAGTCACTATTATTTAGTCACTTTGTGTATTTAAAAATTATATCAATATGAACTCAGGATATATTTATCCATCATAAATAAATTTCTAAAGCTCTCCCAAGTTATTTTTCTATGATCCATTTATTTATTAATGTCTTAAAATAGGTTTGATTTATTGATTTTTTTAAAAATGAAAAATTCTAATTTTATATAATGTTATTCCATCAGGGTATAATTAGGAGCTTTTGGAGGTAAACATAATTAATTGTTCCTTCTGAAATACTTTACCTCTTTAGCACCCTTTCGGCCTTTAACAGAGCAAATGGAAAGGCAAAGTCGAGCAGCACGAGGAAGATCAGGAATGTATATATCATAATTCAGCCATTCATTCCACCTTTGTAAAATTTTAAAGAAAAATAAAATTTACCAAAAAAGTTTTATCCAGAATATATAAATGACTCCTACAGAATATCAAGAAAAAGAAAAACCAAACAAAAAATAGGAAAGTGATTGGAATAGGCACTCTGAGATTATATTTAAATGGCCAATAAACATGAAAAAGTAGTCAATATTATTTGTCATACACAAAGTGGAAACTAAAATCTTATGGAGACATTATACATGAGAATGCCTAAAACTATGAAGACTTATGATTCTATGGGATGGTAAAGTACTAATAGGAAATCCTACACACTAAGAGTTGGGGTAAAATTTGCTATAACCAATTTTGGAAGCATAATCTATTAACAGTGAACATACATACACCCAATGAACCATTTCTACTTCTAAGAATGAAACTATAGAAATGTGTCTATTTGTGCACAGAATGTTTATAGAAAAATAATTTATAATATTCAAACTGCAAATAACCCAAATGTTTTTACAGTAGAATAAATTTTTATATTCACATAATAGAATATTATATGGCACTAAAAATGGAACAACAGTTACGAACAAAATGGATGAAATCCTACAATTATTGGGTAAGAGAAGCTAGACACAAAAAATAGCACTTATACAAAACTGGAAAATAAGCAAAACTAACCCTAAATTGGTAAAAGTCAGGGAAGTCAAGGTTACCTTTGGGAAGGATAGAAAGTCAATAAATATATTGAGGAAGGGTTTCTCAAGTGCTAGAAAATGTGTTTTTTTTTGACTAGTATAGTGAATATGATATTTATAGTATGATAATTCACTGAACTACACAATTCTGATTTGTATACTTTCATGCATGTTTGTGTGCTATACTTCAGTAAAAAATCCAAGTTTTGCTTGTAAAAATCAAATAGAAAAGAGAAATTAGACAAAACAAGAATTTATTAGTATGATTATAATTGTATTTAATTACTTTTATGCATAATGTAGTTTTATACAAAATAACCTACTGGTCTAAATAAGTCAGTATATAAATAAGATGAAGAATACAGAGAAGAACATATTTGAATTTTAAAATAATAACTTCACAAGAAGTAATAAAACTTAATATTCATAAAATGGAAAGAAAAAACTACTATAAAAAATAACAAGGTAAAAATTACTCAAAACAAATTCTCTTAATTTATTGGATGTTATGAATGAAATTATGTCTATATTTGGTAAACATTTTTGTAAAGATCCATGTATAATATGTAGATTTAAAAAAATATTTTAAAAGCAATGGGGAAAGTATATGTACTTGAAAATCAAGACTGCCTAGAAGACGACCTTCTTTCTATGTTCCACCGAATGTGTGAGCCTTGTTTTTTGCCTTATCTGTGAAATGAAACCAATAATAGTACCTATCTAATAAAATTAATGACATAATTTGAATGAAGGAATTAAAACGGCACATTGGTCCATGATAAAAGTTCAGGTGCTAGATAGGCTGAGGCAGGAGGTCTGCAAGTTTGAGGCTGGCCCTAAGCAACTTAGTGAGATTCTGTCTCAAAATAAAAATATAAGAAGGGCTGGAGAATGTAGCTCAGTGGTAGATATCCCTGGGTCAAATCCTCAGTACCCACTCCCGACCAAAATCATCCATTTATAGTAGAAGACTTACATTTAAAATGCAAGAATTCTAAAGGCAAATACATACATACATACATACATACATACATACTATTACAGAAATACAGGAAGAAGAAATGTGGGACTTACAAAGTCCATAATATTTAAGAAAAATTAAAGGCATATCTACTTAAATTCACATATGATTTTTTTATCACTTCTAAATTCCTAGAATTGCTCATAAATTAATGGGGAGTATTCTATACATTTTCTAAGAGAATTATGGCCTCGAAATCTAGTTTTAGCACCTTGCTAATAGAATAAAATACATTTTTCTATTCTTCTAGAGTCCATCCGTTCCACAACACACATAAACCAAATTCAATACATACAAATCATTTTCTTTATTTTTAGAAAATGGTTTTATATATACAGTCTAAGTTGATTCTAATTTTGAGGGATAACTAGTACGTTTATGAAGAAATAATTAAGTATCTGCTTTCTAATAAGTTCATACACCTCTGCTTTTTTGTTTTTGTAAACAAAAAAGTTAAAAAAATTTTTACTTAAAATTTCACAGTACTTCCATTGGGATTTTACCTTTTAGACTAGAGAATTCTTGAAGAAAAGATAATCAAATATAGCCCTTTCTAAATACCTACTTTAATTAGCTAAAATTTCAACATTTTAATCATATTATATTAAGTAAACTTGCCTTTAATTTTACTACCCTTTATTTTTGGTACTTGAAATAACTAGGATAAATGTACCTTGGGTTACTGTATTTAGGGGTCTTTGCTTGGAGCTTGTTGAGCTCTTTAGATGGGTAAATTTAACAGTTTTCACCAAATTTGGAAAAATTCTGGCCATTATTTTCTCAAAATACTATTTTTCTATTCTCATAACAATTCCATCCAACCTGTGACAGACATGCAGTATGTATAGGAAATTAACTACTGTTTTAGCAGAAATTTGTAAAGATCCTGTGGTGTCTGTTGCTACAATGTACCTTCTAACCTGAATAATGTATTTTTTGACTATAATAGTCCAGGTAGGGTAAGGAACTACATCTATTCCCTCTAGTAAAGATGACTACTATCTCTTCAAACGTCACCTGGGCTTTTAAAGATTACTTAATTACAAGATTGGAATTTTCTCTTTTATTTTTCTAGAACTCAAGTCACTCATTATGAGATGTACTTCTGGAGTAGTCACTTGCTAGTACTATTGCTATTCTGTAATATCCTCTTTAATCTGTCTTCAGTGCCCATTTGAGTTCTCTTAAAATATTATTACTATTATATTTAGGGGTACACTGTTATTTCCAAACTTTATAAAACAGAAAAATAAAAGGATGATAAGCTTTTAAACTATACTACCTTTATTTCTTCAATACATCTTGGCACTAATAATTTAAAATATTTCCAATAACTCTCCCTTTAAGAAATTGGTTTGTTCTCAAAGACCCTTTAACTGAATGCATAAATATCTATTCTTAGGACTGATCTGAAGAAAACTGCCTCAGAGTATTCTGGCTCTGGAATTATTTGCCAACTCTCATTTCTTCTCATAAATGGCAAAGGAGATAAGAAAATAAAATGCTGAGTTTTTGATCTAATGTGGAGAATTATCAGGATTAAACAGTAATCATATTCTGTTTTCTCCTTGAAACAATGGGAAAAGAGAATCAGAAAAATCCTTTGGCTGAAATTTTAGAATCAATAAAGTGATCCTACAAGCGATACTCATTTGACAAAAAGTCTTTATGTTCTGTATGTATATATTCAATTGATACTATTTGCATAAAACTAATGATGTAAAATATTTCACTTTATTGATCACCTTGCTAAATACTAATGTGACTTTGGAAATATACACTTACCTGGGATTGGAACAAGGAACTCTCTGAGTGTTCACATTGTCACATAAGGGTTCTCCTCCATGGTAGATACCTGTTCTAACATAAATCTTTGGTTGCGGGGAGGGAGAAAGAAAATAAGTATGTATAAAAATTTGTATTCAGATAAAGCTTTTCTGTTCTCCTTTTCTTCACATGTAGAAATTAATACTGATATAGATTGATCAAAGTTTGCTGTTGTTTTCATCCATTAATAATGATGAGACATCAGGCTATCAAGACCCATAGTCACTTTTAGCTAGATATGTTAATTCAGAGTTGTTGTACTTCAGAAAGAGAAATTGGTGTATACATTAGGTATTTCTTAAAACCTTTGGTAGCTAGAGCAGCACCCTATAAAGACATGTTTTGTAATAAATCACATGAATATTCACACGAAGTGGGTTCATTTTGGTACTGGAGATTGAACTCGGGGGCATTTTACCATGGAGCTACATCTTTGATGGTTGCTATTTATGTATTTTTATTTTGAGACAGGGTCTCACTAAATTGCTGAGGCTGGCCTTGAACTTACAATCCTCTTGCCTCAGCATCTAAAGTTACTGAGATTGCAGGCATGTATTAATTACCACACTGGGCACTAAGTGGAATTAATAGTGAATATAAGAAGATTGACTTTAGGTTGGATTAGATTTTATTGCTAAACTAGTTCTATAAAACTTTTGGTTTTAAGAATTCAGAATTATCAATTTTAGAATTATAGACTTAGGACTGAGAGATATGCAAAAACTGAGTAGATGGAAACTCAAACAGAATTCATTATATATTTTTATTTTCTGAGATTTGAGTGTTTTTTTTTTCTCTAGTCATCTGAAAACATACTGTAGGTCAACAGGCTATTGTATAGTTCAATAAAAATCTTTATATAAAATTACTTGTATAAAATAATAACATCAGCCTTTGACCTTACCTTATCAATGTCTCGAATATTTACATTTACATAGGTTGCACAAAGAATTTTTATTCTGAGTGCGCTATTTATAACCCAAAGGGATTTGGTAGATGTTTCTCCATTCATATATGGTGTAGCTGTGGAGATGCGTCTAGAATAAGATGGCATTGTAAAACAGTCCATTGGCAGTTGAGAGTACAGGCTTTCTTTAGCCATCAGCATCAAATTGGGCATCCTCCCAAGCATTATACAGCTTCTTATGTACTGTAAGAGATTAAGAAAAGAGGAAAGAAGCCATTTCCTGTAAGGTTTTCCATTTTAAAAGCAACATGCAAGAGTATTATGGGAATTTACATACTGATTTGCAAAAGTGATTAAAAAAATCAAACATTGTAGACTACATTTCTTTCCAGTTACTTATTTGTAACATTTAAAATATTAACATTGGGGAATTAAATGCAGTTAGGTTGTAGCACCTAACTCCCAAATATTAGTAGGATACTAAATTGAAATGGTAGTTAGGATAGAAATTTTTAATATAAATGCATATTATAATAGCCTATTTTCTTACTTATAATCCCCACTAGACCATAAGTAACTTGAAGGCTAGAACCATGTTTTGCTTTGGACTATAAATCAATACTTGGTATGTGCTTCTCTAGTTGTTTCTTAATAAACAGAAAGGGTAGGGACATATTACTAATACATCTTTTTTTTAAAAATATTTTTTTAGTTGTACGTGGACACAATACCTTTATTTATTTATTTTTATGTGGTGCTGAGGATCAAACCCAGGGCCTCACACGTGCTAGGCAAGTGCTCTGCCACTGAACCACAACCCCAGCCCACTAATACATCTTAATAGTAGATCATGGAATTTTTTCCCCAAAATATCTATTTTAATTATATTCTACTGCCATTACTTGGGAGAGGATAAAAATTATAAAATACTTCATATTTTGAGGTAAGGTAACCACCCAAATTTTCATTCTGTTAAATAATTATAGTATAAAAATTAAACTTACAAATGATATTTTCCAATATTTATTATTATCTAATTTTCAAGAGGTATGCCTTTAAAAAAAGAAGAAGCCAACTCTTCTGTGATTACTTTTTAAATTTAAAATCAATATTTTTGAAACTTGTTACTCACCTTATACTGACTCAGAGGATATTTTTCTAGAAAGTATTCATCACATCCACACACTTTTAAAATATATTTGCCCTGATATTCTAAAACACAGAGTTTTAGTTGTTCAGAGGATAGCAACATACTTCGAGTTTTTTTCCTGATTGCCTCAGCAATTACTTGTTCTGGCACACAGTCATGGTTGATTTTTAGAGTATACTTCTGCTTGTCATTATTTGGCGAAACTATTACCCAAATCACCACTATTATTTGTCCTGTAACAGAAAAACATTATTAGATGCAATCGTCATGTCTATTTCATTTTTCAAGAAGCAAATTTCAAGTATGTACTATCCATTACTCTAAACATAATCATATATGATTTCTAATAGTTCAAATTAAATACAGGTAAATATCTGTTAGAAACAAAAAATGTTCATATATGATCAGGTTGCCAGACCAGGATCATGACTTCTGTTCAAAGCAAGCATGCAAAGCTGGAACTACTGGGTCACAAGTACCTAAGTCTAAGGTAATTTACATTTTAATTTAATTTACATTTTAAACTGCCTGACAAGAGTTCAATGATGGTTTCAAATATTCAATAGTTCCTAAAGTGAAAGACTATGGGAAGTAAAGAAAGAATGGCACAACTAACTTATAGATGCTGAATTAGAGTGTTGGAAAAGATAGGGGAGGAAAGATTGTAAGATAAAGTCAGGAGGCACCCCCCCCCCCCCGCCGAAAAATATGTGAAAATGGAAAGAGTCCAACTTTTCAACTCCTCTATATGTTGAAAATTTTCAAGTGAAAAGAGCACTCTATTTTAAAAAGTTTGCTACAGGAGAAAAGAATTTTGAAAGATCTTATGCTACACTGCAATAAACTACTTTGAATAATATGAGTGAGATAGAAATAAGATGTCTTAAATTAACTCTACTAATAGAATTTTACATTTAAAAGCATGCAAGGTATTCTATGACTTCAAACTGAACTTTTACTTTGTTACCTTGAAAAACAATTATTTATCTGACAGAATACTTATTTCTAAAACAGCTTGCATATTTTCATGTTCACTTAATTCTAGAAATGGGTTCATTAAATGTCTAGTACACCTATATATTTATCAATCACTATGATCAGACTTAATTATTGCGCTTAATATTAAAATTTTTTCTTTGTATATATAATACATGATGATGAGAATGTGTAAAGTTTTTTTTATTAAGTTTCTAGTTATACCTGCTTTTATCTATCGAAAGATAATCAGCTCTAATTCTGTTAGTACTCTAAAAAACAGTGAATATCAAATTCAAAGTTCTTCAGTTTCAATGAGATGAAAATTCACCAACAGATCAGCATCATATCCATACAATTCATTCAATCAATAAATTTTTACTGTACACAAGTTATATATTTAGTACTCAAGTATATCTTGTCAGTACAAGAAATCCCTAACTTCAAGAAGTTTATTATCTAACTAGGTTTTAAAAAAAAAAAGGACTGTATAGAAGAAATAAAGACACGGGTAGAAGATTTAGCTCTAGTAACAATTACAGTAGACCAAAAATTATCTTACCTTTATCTAATTTATTATATATGTGCTTTGGCAGTTCTGGTGAAGATTCCACATTTGGAGGATACACATACATTGCTCTACTATGAGGTGAATTGAGATCCCTAAGATCTACAGCTTCTTTACAAACATTCAGAATATTTCTTCGGAAGTCCTGTACTTCTGGATCTTTAACCATATCAAATTCACACACTGGCATACCGATAACAAAACCTTGAAAATATTAAATAAAGGATGTAACATTTTATTAAGCACACAGTATAAACAGGTTTCTTACAAACAGGGACTATACAGATAAGAAAGGTCACAAAAGAATTGAATTTGTCTTGGTTAAAAAAATCTGTGATGAATACATAAAGCAATAGCCAATAAAATCCCTAATATTTTTAATATATAAGTATATTATAGATATAACAAATCTTAAGTCCTCCTATAAATGGCATTTCATAAATAAAACTTTAAAGACTATCAAAGTGTTAAAAATAGTTCTATAGCTCAATAGTCAAAAATACTTCAGATTTTAAAAGATTTTTTTTATAGAGAAAGCTATTTATTTAAGATTATACAGATACTGGTTTAGACTAAGATATTTCAATAATGAGACAATGATTAGGCTCCACAGTTATTTGCATTTTAGAATAAGATGACAATGCCATCTAGTTGAAAATTATACCATACCAATTTCTCGATTGAGGATCTTTTCTTCACGGTTGCCTACTGGTTCAATAACTTTTAAAAAGGGTTGAAAAAGCCGAAGGTCACAAAGTCGTCTTGTTTCATCAAAAAATTCTTCCCTTTCTGCTTCTTGGGTAACACTTACGAAAATGTAAGAAGATTCATCTTGAAGAAGTTGATAGAGAGGGTATTTTCTTGCTTCTTTAAATAGTTCATGCTTTATAGTTATTAATGTAGCCTCACGGAGGCATTCTAAAGTCACTATCATTCCATTTGGTAGTAAACATTCTACTAGGATTCTTGGGGGCATCAAGTGGATGCCCCACAGTTCACCTGATGATGGTCGTGGAGGCATTGTTCTGATCCTTTACAAGTTTTACATATAAAACTACTTTAAGAAATTAGATGTATGGCTGTTCCAAAGCAAAAACCTAAATGAAAGAAGGAAAACTTCTGTTAAAAGAGAAACAACTGTAAAGAAATACTGTTACAGTATTACTGAATGCAAAAATTCACATTTTCTATAGATTGAATTGAATAGGTAAAGTATCAATTAATCTTAAATATTTTAATCAAGACTGTTGCCCTAAATTAGGGCTTAAAGAACAGATTTCAACAGAAGTCAAACCACTTGTATTTAGTTAAATCTAATAAAGTCATTTAAAAAAACATTGTATTTGAGGACGACAGTGTTGAGGCCATGGGAAGAATGCAAAGTAAGTTGTAATTCAAGCCCAAATTCCCATCACCTATTAACACCTTTATCACTTGGTGTTATTTTATGGAGCATCAGAATTTGGACCAGAAAGGATCCATTGCTCTAACTTTAAAAAAGTAAGTAAAGCCTACAGAAGTCAAATTCTTTTCCTTTTCCCACTCTTACAGACCTCAATCTGCAGTAATAAAAAATTATATGGTCTTTCTTTCCTTTCTTCTTTTCTCTCTTTGTCCCTCCTTCCTCCCCTGACCTGGGGATTGAACTCAGGGGTATTCTACCATAGAGCTACATTCTTAGCCCTTTTTGAGACAGTGTGTTGCTAAATTGATGAGGTTGGCCTCCAACTGGCAATCCTCTTGCCTCTGCCTTCTGAGGCCACCATGCCCACCCAGCTCTCTCTTTCTTTTTAAAATCAATCTGTAATTTCTTCCTTTTTACTAGAGAGCACTGATTCTTGTCTAGGTGATATACCATTCTATTTTTTAAAGTATGATGTAGGTATATATTCACAATAAAGTATAATCAATTTATTTTCCTTGAAGTATTATGATGAATTTGCAATGATGCACGCACTTTCCCAAATATCTCATTCCTAATACTTCTTTCTGATTGAAATGAATTATTCTATGACCCATGACTCTGTCAGTTCCAACCACCTGTGTGAAGAACTCGTATGATTTTAAAAACTATTAAGTGCTATTATAACTTGAAGGCCCTTATATTCTTAGACTTCAACAATCTTGGGGTTCTTTCGAGAGATATAATCAAAACACACAAAACTTCAGTTTATTTCTTGCTGTTTATATTTATGTTTTCCTTTATTGGGTAAGCTAAACTATAAGGGTACAACAAAAGTCAAGCAAGAGATAACCAAAGTCAAGAGTATAAAGGTTATGTATATGTTGTCTGTGGGGTAAACTCAGAGTTACACAACAGAATACATGCTATCGCGGAGAAGTGCCAGATTGTATAAAAACACAGTGTGGTCATTCAACTCAATGGAGGTTGGGGCAGGAAGCACTCTCACAGAAAGTAACACATGAACTAAATTCTTTAGGGATAAGCAGGAGTTGGGCAAACAAAATGAAAAAGCATTGAGAAGGATAATGCAATCCAGAAACCTGCAATCCCTGACCCCCCATACCATACCTATTAATATCTAACCCATCAATAAATTCTCTTTGTCTATATTTCTTCATTACCATTCTGAGTACCCTGGGTTGGGCCACCACTATTTCTTGTCTGGATCACAGCAAGGGTCTATGTGCATTTTTGTTCACTCCTATAATCCATCTTCCTCCTCACAGTCAGTGTAAACTAAAGAGAGCAATAGTCCCTAATTTGATCAGCCATTTCTGCTGTGCCAATATTCACTTACAAACAAGTAATTATGATATGCTTCAAAGTTGCAACATGAATAAGATGAAGGGGGTGAGGAGTTGGAATAGCAGAACTTTCTAGCTGTCTTCCCACCTCTGTTAAGCAAGATTAACTGAAAAGACAATGATGAATATAAGGAAATTATTTTCTGATCGTTGAAAATATTCTTCAAACTTACACACACAAAAAATTCAGTGAAGTGACAGGATTTTTATAATCATTTCCTCTTAAGTTAAAGAAATCTCACTGGTTAGTAAAAAGACCAGATGGATCAATCTGTGTGCACAATTTCAGAAGAGACTTGAACTAAGCTTTTTAAAACAAAAAATTTCAAGAATGCAAGGGAAAATGCCAAATGACTACTTTTAAATGATGATCTGCCTGCATAAAGAAGTTCAAATAAAAAAAAAATCCAAAACCACAAGCCACACCAAAATAGCAGCTGTGTTTATGGTTTTCTTTGTTGAATAGTGCTAAGAAGTTTATGTTATAGAACTACTGGGGCAACTATTTCATACCCAGAGAGTCTCACCTGTTCCATAAGTAGGAGACATCTAGGATAGATTATTGATTTTATTCTTTATTCTACTATAGCATACATTATTATGTATTATGATATACATCATACATACATCATATTATGATATACATATATACATATATATTATGATATACATATATACATACATATTATGATATACATCATACATACATAATACATTATTATGTATTATGATATACATTATTATGTATTATGATATACATAATACCTTTCATAGCACTATGAATATTAATAGTGAAAATGAATTGCAACCTGAATTTTCCACATAATAACCATGAGTACTTGATTTTCTACCCTAACATTGTAAAGGTCTTAAATACTCAAGATGTACCCTTTTCATAAAGAGAATAAATATATCACAGCTATAAAACATTTGGAGATCATAAAAGGTAAGCACTGTTGGTCACTATGGAAATAATTATGTAAAAGACAGAGTATATTAAATTTCTTACTTGTCTAATGGTTATTTGCCTTCTTGTGCCAAGCCTTACACTGTACAAACCATTATCTCAGAGCTTGCATACAGAAGTATAGAAAAGGCAAATGGAGCTAACTTTTTTTTTGAACCCAGGGCTGCATGCATGCTAGCCAAACTCTCTAACATTGAGTTACATCCCCTAACATTTTATTATTTAGTATGTACCATGCACTTAGTCAGGTAATACCCCTTTTAGGGATATTACCATTTTACTTATGAGGAAATTGAAGGTGAGTGAAATGAAATTATTTGCCACCAGAAAATAGACTCTGAATCCATGTCTGGATGATTTTAAAGCATCTACTATAACCATGATACTATCTGGAGTTTAGTTATGGCTGGGTAAATCAATGGTGGTAAATAAGAGAATGGGCCCTAAATTTCACTAGATTCAAATTTTAGCTTCCTTAGTTAATGGCAGTGTGGCACTGGGAGGTTTAGCTCATTTTATTGAAACTCATCCTCCACTTGTTAAATTGGGATAATAAGCATCTACTTCACTGGACCACTGAGGATTAGGTGAGGTAATATGAAAAACATATTTATCATATTGTGTTTTTCATCAGCACAGAGTAAGCACTCAATAAATACTAAATATTATTAACAAACCTGAATATCAACATTATCTTTTAAAGCTATTATGAATTATTCACAGCTAGCACCAGGTGGAGACAGGAAAAAGAGGCTGGGTTCTTTCACTAGGGGATGCTAGTGAAGGAGCTGCATAAAACAATGTTGGTTTCAGATGTTAGTACTTGAAGGTAGCACTGGTCATGCAAGGTTTGCACACAGGCCTGGAATAGTAAATATAGAGTGGCTCAGACATGATGCTTTTACAGCTGCTTCCAGTTTCCCAGGTTCCTAAATAGTACAGGTTGCTACAGCTTGGTGTGAGGAATCTCTTCTCTCCTTTTGCATCCTACTCCCTCCATCTCTTTTTGAGAACCACCTACTTATGCCAGGCTCTAGGCTAAGTATAGTATTAAAGGTAAAGAAGCTATGTTCTTTTCTGTTGTTTAGAGACTCATGGTTTACTGGAAACAATTTTAACCATGTGGTAACTGTTACAAGATAGAATATGAATTATGGAAAAGCCTGAGTAGGTTAGGGGTAGCTTTAGAGCGTAAAGTTTCAGTACAACATTACAGATTACAGAATTTTACAGGGCAGGAGTGGCTTGAATGTGGGAGTGCTAGATCTGGAGGGCAAGTGAGATGGCTTCCAGAGTTGAGTGTGCAGTCACAAACCATAAAGAAGAATGCAGTCTATTACTAGCAATATAAGCTATTTTTTTTTTAACTACTTGAGTCTAAAGTTCATGGAAACAGGTGGGGTATGTGACAAGGAAGGAGGGGTGAAAAGCAGGTAGGGGCCAGATAATAAAACCATGTTGGAGAGTTTGAATTTTATGATGCACACTATTTAGTAGGTACCATACAAAAGAGTCAAAAAGAGTCTCCAAAGTATTTTTATTTTTTTGATACCAGGAATTGAACCCAGGGGCATTTAACCACTGGGCCACATCCCCAGCTGGTTTTTATTTTTAATTTTGAGAAAGGGTTTTGCTAAGTGGCTTAGGGCATCACTAAGTTGCTGAGGCTGGTTTTGACGTTGTGATCCTCCTGCCTCAGCCTCCTGAGCTACTGGGATTACAGGTGTGCACCACTGCCGGAGCCAAAGTATTTTTTAAAAAAGCAAAAAGATTACATTTTCCCATCATTTTAAAATTCTCAGATTTCTTTAAAAATTGCTTTTCAGGTTACAAAAATTAATGTAGTATAATAACTATATGTTCTCAGTTCTTTAAATTTAGAGAAAACCCCCTAAAATTAAAATCTGAATATGTAACATTTAAAATAAAAAGACCTAAATTAGACTATTGAAAAAGTAATGCTGATAGAGAAGATGGAATTAACAAATTTAAATGCATATTATTCTATTTATAAAAGATTTACTGAAAAGAAACAGAAGAGAATACATCATTATAAAATTAATTTTTGAAATACTAATCTAGATAACTGGGAGGTTTGAGGTCAAAGAATAAAAGATGTACTTACTAAAACATTAAAAATCAAGCATCCACTATATTGGTTCAAAATTCCAGGACTAAATATTCATATACTAACAAATCACAACTATCCAGAACTCAAGAAATAAATTGGTTTTGCTTATCCTAATTTTCTATATTATCTAAATAATTGTTTCAATTAGTTCATTCTTATTTTCTTTGAAGTACACATAATTCACAATTTACTCTTTTATAAGTTACAGTCCTCACTATAAATAGCAATTACCATGCTCTTTTCAATATAACAAAACTCTTCATG